TGGGATGGGTCCCACCTCATGATCGGATGTTGGTTGGTGTATCAAAACTCAATTGTGAATAATTTATTACTTCTTTTTAACTATCCAACAAGCCATGTTGGGCTAACTTAAGGAAATTAACAAATTGTTGAATGGGATAATGGGTGTAACGACTTGCTCCACCATATATAAGTACTTTATTTTTCTCTTATGCAGGTAATGTGGGATTGTGCAATCGTAACTCGCCCAGTATGGTAGCCTGCTAGTATTTCGCACTCACCCACAAGGTTGCCATAATCACTCCTTTTAGGACCCAACATCCTCATTGGCCTCACTTCCGACTATGTCAGGCTCTGATACAATTTGTAACGACTTTGCGCTATGGCAATTAAAGAGTGAAAGAACACATACACACATATATATGTGTGTGCATCAAATGTTCAATCTTGCTTTAACAGACTGCAAATCACAAATCTGACTCCGAGGATGGCCACCATTGGTTTAACGGACTTACAAATCTAACTCCAATGATTCTAGATTCCGATGACGTAGTGGCGAACACTCCAAGGACGACAGTTGATGAGGAATCCGAGGACGGTAGTTTATGACGAATGGATCTTGTAGATTCTGATGACGAATAGGTTTTGCAAATTTCGGTGATTAATAAGTTTTGCAGATTCCCGCGACGAGAATGGTGATGGTTTAGGACAATGGTGATTGTGGTGGCGACAGCGATTGGTGATGGGTTAGGATCGGGTTGGGATTTGTGTGGGTGATTTTAGGGTTAATTTGTGGTAGTGATTGGTGATGGGTTAGGATTGGGACAATGGTGCATGGTTTGTGTTAATGTGTGATTCTAAAGTGATGGGGATGAAAATGGAGATTGAAGACTGCTCGTTGACGGGTCAAAAGATTATTTATGAGATCGATAGTTCTAGGAGCTTAGTCGGGAGGTCTGTAATGGTCTAGTAGTGGTTGAGATCGAACCTTTGTCGCAAGGTCTGTGATAATGGTGGTTTAGATTCAATGGTTCGAGCACCGCGGCAGCCATAGCCACCACTCTTCTCGTCCTCTCTGTTTCAGTGCTCCGACCCTCAAATTCCCTCCAAATAACAGTCGCTGGCGTGGATCCGCAGTGGTGGCGAAACTCAAACTCGTCATCCTCTACCTTTTCATCTCCTGAACGGTACTTTAAATCTGGCAACATCCATAACAAACCTTCTAGCCTAGACAACTTCGATGAGGGCTAACCCTATCGACACCTTTCAATAGCCACGTTCGTGGATAGAACTAGACTTGGTCGGCATGGATGTGATCGCCATGATATTTACCTTCTGAATTGGCGACGGCTCACACTTGGCGACACATGACTTGTTCTGTTTGGATCTACTCTCTGTGACGACCCAAACCCGCGAATCTGAATCGTTAACCGGTCCTTACCCAAACCCGAGGTTACCTAAGTCATTTCCGCCCTTTCTGATGTTAAAACTTCATTCTAAGGCCATACTTATGCTCTACAATGGCTCAATGCAAATTCCCAAAGCTTAGGATGGATTACAATCGGAGAAAAGAATAAAAAAGAACAGAGCAGATGCACTTCGGTCGACCGAAGTGGGGCTTCGGTCGGCCGAAGCAACTTACCCTGTACCAATCGATCGAAGCAGGCATTTCGGTCAGCCGATTGTGACTTTAATAGTGACTAAAGTCTCTGGATGAACAGGTCGGCCGAAATGCCTCCTCGAACTAAGAACCTGCTACTGAAATGTTGAAATCCTGAAAATGAATAATGGTCTATGAAAAACTTTACAATCTGCTTCAAACTTGTTCTAAAACATTTCAAATGATAAAACAACATACCATAGTCATGATCATCAACATTTAAGCATAATACAACATCAACGAGTCCATTCAAATAAGGAAAAAATGTATGGTCTTTACATTTATCCAAATTTACATCAAAAACACTATCAAGGTCTTAAAGTTATATTACAAGGCCATGCTTTACAACTTGTTACATTTTAAGATAAATACTTTACAAAAAAAGGCTTATTACACAAAAGATAGCAAAAGAAATGAACTCCAAGTTCTCTTCAAACTTGTGGAGGATTGTCATCCGCCACCTCTTTTCCATGACCTAAAAAATGTTAAATAAGGGGTGAGCAAATTGCTCAATAGGTGGTGCCTAAGACATACCTTTTGTGACCCCATGAATCCAAATAATGGATGGAAATAAAATCAACGGGATCATGCTATGCCGGAGAAAAATACAATACAAGTTCAAGTAGTAATGAAACAATTTCATGCCATGAAATGCAATGCCATGTATGTCGCTCCCTATTTTAAAAATCACTTTCCTTCTCCACTTTTCAAATTGTTAACATAACCCATCCCTCGATGACTCCTCGGCGACATGAGAGAAGAATTGGCTACTGTCCCTGACCCTTAGTACTCCCGCGGCGTCATTTGGGGCCAGATAGCTCAACCACGCTAGGGTGATTTCCCTAATTCCCTCTAGGTTATATTAACGCCACGGACCCTCGGTACCTCCTTAGCGTCCGGGTTTTCTCAAAAACCCTTTAATCAAAACTTTCCCCAAAGCCCTTTTTTCTTTCGTTTCAAATCAATTCCCCCTTTTCAAGCCCAAAGATATGTATGAATATCTCATACCTTACAATATTATAACAAAAAAGAGCTTCATAATTTCATAAAATCAACATGTATCCACATAACAATTTCTAATAAGTTACTAGGCACATAAACATATAAAAATCAACATTTAAGCATGCTTTTCACGCAAATCAACTTATACACATAGTCATGACCTTCATACACATTAATTAAATCATTTTAGAGGCAATCAATTCAAATTAAGCATGCTTGAAAACAAATATTGTTGAAAAATTCACAAAGGTGTAGGAATTTGAGAATTAGAAACCCCTACCTCAATTTTGTAGAAAAACGCCTAAATGGGTCCAAATTTTCGAAAATCCTACAGTCCACCAAATAATGAATTGTTTGTACTCACACATAGATCTCGCCGTGCTCTCCGTTTTACCGCAAATGGCACCCAAAAACTCCAACAATTGAGGAAGTAATCAAACTTTGAAATTTTGAAGTAAAAAGAAAAGAAAAATGAAGAGAGGAGAGTGAGAAAGATAGGGTGCCGGGAGAGAGAGGAATGAGAGGCCAAAATGGTCTCTTGGATACCCAAAATACATTAGTGGTGGGTCCCATTACTAAAATCCCACCTTTGACTTTTCTTTTTACACCGCCAATATATATACATATACAACCATATAAAATCCACATAAAACACATTAAATAAGATGCATGAGATGTAAATTGACCCAACCAAAATTTTCGTACGCAACAATTCCGGTAGCAGGTCCCACACGGGACCGTCCGGCCAGAAAAAAAAAGAAAAAATGCAAAAATGACCACCATTGCATTTCAAAGAGTCCTGAAAAAAAGAAAAAATGCAAAAATGACCACCATTGCATTTCAAAGAGTCCTGAAAAAAAGAAAAAATGCAAAAATGACCACCATTGCATTTCAAAGAGTCCTGAACTTACTGGAATGCCCCAACCTACTCTTGGACACAACTGGCACATTTTACGGTATCCGGTAAGCAAAACGGTAAAAAGACGAAAATGCCCTTGAGATGGCAAAAATTCCAGAACAATGGAAAATGAGGAAAATCAGAAATGATACACTCTCGCTCAGGCTCCGGCTACTATGCCAACCCTTTTGCCGACTACTTCTCCGACTAAGTCACCGATGGCAGCTCCCGCTCATGTCATGGTGCCACTAACCTCCGTGTCAGTGAACTCACTCATTGTGGTGAGGGGCGTAGGAAAGAAGAAAGGCAGAATAAGAAGAAGAAGAAAGGGCAAAATTAAGGTTTTTAAATTTACTTTGTATCAATTTTGACCAAAAAGTGGTCAGATGGGCTTATTTGTACTTTTTTTTTTATTTATTTATTATTTTATAGAATGAAATACACATCTTAAAAAAGGAGGGACTATTATTGGTACACAAAACCTATATTACAGGAGGGTTTTCTGTACTTAACCTTAGTTTTCAGTGAGGAAGGTTCAGCTTAAATAAGGACTGGAATGTATAATCCCGTTTGAAAGTATAATTCTTAGGATTCGCATGAACCAAGAATCCAAAGTATGGTTTTAAGAATTCTGTTTTAAAACAAAGTAGACTGTAATTATATAAAATTCGGATATACATGACATTTTCTACTATTCATCAGAGTTTTGCAATAATATTTGCTTTAGACATTGTGAGACCATAAATGTGTCCGGGTAAGTTTACTAAATAGATTTGCTGCCTCTTTCTCTTCTAAAATGCAAATAACGTGATTTTGTGACTAAATAATATCATATTTGCATGAAGTTTAAAATGTAGAATATCGTGATGGCGCCATTTGTATTGTTTTGCACGAGTGTTGATTATAAGAAGAAGAGTTTAATCTTGATAGAAAATAGGATGAGAATTAATGAGAGATACTTATATTTCAAATTTTATGAGGGTTGATTATAAGAACATAATTTTATAGGATAAGAAAAAATGAGAGATAATTTGATATTTCAAATTTGAAATTTGAGATGTTGGAGAAAATTAAAATATGAAATCTTTTAAGAAAAGAAAAAAGTTATACATTTCAACATAAATGAATGGGTGGAGTAACAATAGCTGTTGTTTTAGAGTTCAAGATTCATTTTAAAGAATTATACGATTCTTTAATAACTTTTAATTAAACGTAGTTTAAGTATTTCAATCAGATTGTTCTCATTTGCTCAATTTAAAAAATGCTAAATTTTTCTTTTTCACAAAGAAAATTTTGGAATTAATGTCATGACCTTTGTTTCTGAATATAATGAACTGAAGGCAAAAACCATCCATTGCATTCTAGAGCTCCGTGAATCAATAGCAAAATAAATTACTTACCAGCTGATAATGAAGCTCTCACTTGAGCTGATTTAATGAACTTTGACTTGTCTGTTCGCATAACGAAAATGATACTTCGGAAATGACAATTTGAAAGAAAACTCTAAAACAAACAACTTGAGTGAAAGTAACGACTGATAAAAAGTAGCTAGAATATTGAAAGTATTGTTGTAATTGTACCTTATAAAAACTTCTTTTATAGCAATTTGATTTCAACACACTGCCCATTTCTTTTTCTCTTTTTTTTTTTTTTTTTTTTTTTTGCCCTGGCTGGGCTCCCTGTCAATTTGAAAGACCTTTGCATTCAAATTTTTAATTATTCTGTAAAAAGGTCGAAATTGTAATTTTCACAAGAAATTCCTAGACAAAGCTTAGAGCAAGCATGGGAAAGATATCATGAGTCATTACTTGGTTTAGTTGTCAAATACTTTCCATTCACCTAAATTTAAATAAGTCACACATCCACAATTACTAAAAGTAGGTAAAATATCAACTTTGAAAGGTATAGTTGCTCAAAATACCTAAACCTCCAGATATAGATTAGATAATAAAGTAGTTAATATAAGCATAAATTTAGCAACATCAATTTCCTTACCCTTCCTCCACCTATCAGATTTGAGCCCTGTTGAGTGTCTAACCTCTCTGATTCCTTTCTTCATATTGAAGTTTCTCTCTTTCCATAGACAAGGAGGCTCGGTGAGACCTTAGCCAAGCCAATGGAAATCAAAAAGAAAGATCAAAGAAGGATATCCCGTTTTACCTAAAAAAAAAAAAAGAAGGATATCCCGCCACTCTTCGCATCAAAGGATATCAAGCGGCCTTTCTCCCTATGTATTTTTTGGCTTCATGCTCCATTCATCAGTATCAGAATTACGATGAAAATGAATCAGATGCCATATCCCCTATCTTCTTCCACCAACGAAAGAGCTTTAGTCTCACCCACACCTTTGAATTTTGCACACCTACATCAAGAATCATAACATTAAGAAGCATAATCCAAATTTTCAAAAAAAAGACTGCCCCATATCCCATTTAATCACCCAGTCCACATAATTATTGCAACCGTAGAACCTATTCTTAGTTCTTTAGTTGTACTTTTACCAGCTATGGTTCATGGCATAATATTGCATTTTTTGCCAGCAAGGATCTGGAACTAAATAAATGCAGTCATGGATCCGATACAACATCAGCTACATGGGAAATCTTGGCATTCTCTTGGAACAGCAAGTTCACACATAGAACTTTCTTTAAGAAATAATTTGTCATTTACAGAATTCTCCATCACGCCTTTAGAACTATTGCGAAGATGATACATTGTTACTCTTTTATTTATTTTATATTAGACAACCTGCATGACTAAATATAAGGTTTTGTCCCTGATGCATGATTATAGCTACAACTGCTAGTAAATACGTTTAACAATAATAAAGAAAAAATTAAGTAGGTGAGCTCTACATTACCAAATATTAGAAAAATGCCCAAAGACACGGAAAGGAGAATGGAAGATACAATCAGGACCTAAAGATAAATAAACATGGGAAAACATTTACATATCTACACAAGAAGATGAGAAAAAGGCTTTGGAGCATCAGATTATAAAGCATATCTTAGAAAGTAATCATTTAGCATTAGAAGTTTCAGCTACGACAATTGCATTAAAAAAAAACATTTTGCTAAATCTTCCATATGGTTATTAGGATAGTACTATAAAAATAACACCATTGGTTTCTAGAAAAATTTGTGTAAATAATACCACGTCCATCTTTTTCTAAATAAAAAATGATAAATCAAATATAATAATGTATTATATATATATATATATATATATATATATATATATATAAAATAAAAATAAAAAAAGAAAAAGAAAAGGAAAAAACTTATAAGAAAAGAAAAAAACTATCTAAATTGAACTACATGCATACATATATGGCATCATCAACCTTATGTTCCGCCAATGTAGAATGCTTAAGGAAAAGGCTGGAAACAGAGCTAACCTTTGGCATAATTTTACACAAATCGATTGCTCTCAAGCTTGAAAGAATCTTTGGCACTAAGGGTTCACAAATGAAAATTCATACATTTTCATGTATTCCAATTCTTTAATAGACAGGACAATAAAAATAAATTAATTAATAGACAATTTATTTTTTGAATTATCTTAAAAATTTAAGCATATCTTATGAATGCTCCATATAGTACAAAATTGCCAACTAGAGCTTTAGAACATTGAGCTTAGCCCTGTGAGCAATACTGGCATTAGGTAAATTATTGAAGTTTGACAAATAATGCAAGTTAACCAATACAAACTGAAACAAAAATGAAAAAATAGTTTTAGAAGATAACAATCTCTTTTATATATCTACACACACACAAACACATATATAGATATATAAAACAAAAACGAACAACCAATGTCACTGGAAATTTCTTCCAAAAGATGTCAGTATTGTTTTCTCTATAAACGTCTTCACATAAGGATAAAATAAGCTATTGAGCATTTAAAAAGGCATTAAAGAAGCATGAAGAACGAGAATTAGCACCTCAACATGAAAATGAAAAATTATAAAAGGGAGAAACAAAGGATTGCAAATATAAGATGCATGGCAAAACTATCTCTGGGGTAAGGAACAATAAAATTATTCATCCAAAGAAGCAGTACAGATCTATATAAATGAACATATCAATGCTCAAATTCAATAACACCCAGTTTGCTAAGCTTGAAATAATAAGTTAAAAAGAGTTACAAGCAAAGCAATAAAATTAATTAATTAAATCAAATTATACTAAAAAGTAAAGAGAATCCTAACAAAAATAAATAAATTATAACCCCAAAAACAGAATCAAAGCACTCTCAACTAAATGTAATCATAAAGATTGTCAGGAAAGCAAGTGGAAGCTTCCTGACTCCAAAGAGTAGTTTTTTTTTTTTTTTTTTGAAAGGTAAAATCAATTTAATAAGAAAATAAGATATACAATACAAGTTAGCCCAGGCTAACCAAAATACAAAACCATGAGACCATACAAGTTAGCCCATGAGACAACTCGAAGCACAAAGCAAACAACCCAGCAAGAGTTACATTGACACAACACAAACACTAACAATCTATACCATATATTTTGAGTGTGCAGCTAATCTCCAAGTAAAAACACTAACAATCTATATCTATATACTTAAAAATAACTACCTCTCAAAATGGTGCAAGCTACGGACAAAGGAATTTATCATTGGGGCCCAACATACATATATCATGTCTATGAACTATTGGATGGCTTTTACATAATATTTCAAGATTTTTATTATACAAAAATTATGAGTAACTTGTCTGTAATCGAGAATCTTGAAACAATTGAATTTCCAAAAAAATCTTGCAGCTCCTATTAAGGAAATCTAAACTAAATACCAAGGAAATTAATACAATTCAAAGGATTGACTCATATAACCTCACCCAAATACAAATATTGATACGTATGAGAAGACATGATAAGATTGATATTTCAGAAAGAGGTTGAGGAAATGTAATTGCTAAAAATTTTAGTGTCTTACATTCACAGCAAGTTATCCAACTGGACACATTATCCAACAATATCTTTTGACGTTGATGCATGTCATAAAACACAAGTCTACTTAAAAGATGGTCACTTAAAAATAAATGTCATTGAAAACAAGTTCTAGGAGAAAAGAGGAAGCTGCAAAGAGGAAAGATTCATATATTTTTTTCATGATTTCCAAATACGAAAAAAAAAAAATATATATATATATATATATATGAATATAAGACATCAATATCAAAATCTAAGAAAGAAGAGAAGGGTTGTTTATGCCATCACTGTGTTACAAAATGACAATGCAGAAAGCTCTATGGATCAATTTGTTATTAGAGACGGATTCTAGAGCTGTGCCTACTGTGGAGTTTTCTTCTTTTCAACCAAGGGTTATGGTTTCTGAGGATGAAAAAAGAATATTTCACGCTAAGGTTTCTGAAGAGAATATAAAGCAAGTGGCGATGCTAGTCAAGATAAGGCTCTTGGGCCTGATGGCTATCCAAACAGAATTTATCAAAGGTTCTGGAATATTGTGAAGGGTGACTTGATTAAAGTGATTCAATGGTTCTTCAGTAAGAACACTTTACCTTTGGGGGTTAACAGCACTTTCCTTACCCTTACACCTAAAAAATGCTTTAAGGGTGATGGACTATAGGACTCTCTCTCTTTGAACTTCCATGTATAAATTTATTACAAAGATAATGGCTAATAGGTTGTCTATGATCCTTTTGTGGCTGCCTGGGAAAGAACATGCAGCATTCATGAGAGGAAGAAAATTTCAAGGTAACATTATTACTGTTCATCATATTCTCGAAGGATTTTAAAAAAAGATTCTAATCCTTCCATGGCTTTTAAAATTGATCTTCATAAAGCCTATGATTCTGTTTCATGGGATTTTTTGAGATCTATTTAGGTTGGTATGGATTTGGGGATGGTTGGATAGAATGGGTAATGAATTGTGTATCTTCAGTCTCTTTCTGTGTTTTGGTCAATGGAGTTCCTTCTGGTTTCTTCCAAGCAAGCAGAGGGTTGAGGCAAGGATGCCCTTTGTCACCTCTTCTTTTCACTCTGGTGACAAATTTTTTTTCCAATTTGATGCTCAAAAAGATTAATGAAGGTGAATTAGAGCTCTGTAGCTTACTGAGGAAAGTGGGTTCTGAGTCTTTTTTATTATTATTTTTATAATAAGATTTCATAAAAGGCGCTCAAGAGGGGAGCGCTCCCAAAGTATACACAACACGCCAAAGGCAAAAACTAAAGCTTTAAGCTATCCAAAAAATCCAAAAGATACCCCAAAGATTTACAATTACGCCCGTTAACCCAAAAGAATATAGTATGCAGTACGCTATACTTGAGAGACCAAATAGGAGTCTCCTATTTCTCTCACGCCACAAAGGGGAGTGGCCCTCCAAACAACCCTTGCTCAGCTCTCCACAAGACACCCTTTCCAAGCCTCAATCATATCCAAAGTGGTTCTTGGGAACACCCAAGGCATGCCAAAAGCCTCTATGAGAAATGCCAGGGTGATATCTGAAAGTCAGCAAAGATAAGAGTTATGTGTTTTTTCTAAAGATGTAAGGAGAAGATGTTTTCCTGTTACCTATTTAGGGTTACCTTTGGTTGATAGAAAGCTGAATAAGAATTACTGTACTAATTTGATTGATAAGGCATCAAGGGTATCAACCAAATTATCCATCATCTTCCTTTGGCAGGGAGAGCTGAATTGATAAAATCTGTTGTTTCATGTTTCTTTTACTACTGGTCTGCAGTGTACTCTATTTCTGTTGGGGTTCAATGCATCTCGAAGAGAAAAAATTAAAAACTTATTTTGGCTCAAGAGAGCAAAAGTGCATTTGTTAAAGTGCAAGGTTGTCACTTTTCCAAAAGCAAAAACGAGGGGGGGGGGGGGGGGGGGGGGGGGGGGGGGTGTGGGGTGTTGGAGAACCTAATAATGAATATGAGCTCTTCGGGCTTTGGTATAAGAAGTTTGAAGTCTATTGATTTCTCAGCCAGGTGTGTTTTGGCCTGGGATTTCATTCAATCCAAAGAGTCTCTTTGAATTGCATGGTTCAGGGATAAATACCTGAAGAAGGCTAAATTCTGGAATTGTAATGCTAAAATTTATGATTCTGCTATATTGAAGAGTATCATCCATGTAAGGGAGTTCATGTTGGAGCATTTGGACTTTAAAGTGGGGAATGGTTTTATGTTGGAGCATTTGGACTTTAAAGTGGGGAATGGTCTTATGTTTAGTCAACCCTTGGTTCCATGGTAGTACTATTTTGCAAACCTTTGGTTCCAGAGTTGTTGAGGAATTTGCCAGAGATGCTTTATTAGCAGTGTCGTTTAATTCTGGCCAGTGTTCTGTTCCTCAGAATTGGCCTAATGGGATTTATGACGTTCTGATTACTTCAAGAAGTAGTGGTGAACATGATAGAATCATGTGGAAATATGGCCAGTGAAGTTTCAAATCAGCATGGAATAAGGGTAGAAATATGGGTCCTACAATCAATTGGGACGGGTTGGTTTGGGGTCACTGCAGGCCAAGGATAACAACAGCCTTGGTCATGCATCATTCCATTCCTTCTGATCACACTTGCAGAGAAGGGGTATTACCCTTGTGTCTATTTGTCATAATTGTCTAAATGGGGATGGTACTATGGATCATCTATTTTGGAATTGTTCGTTTTCTCAACAAGTTTGGCACTGGTTTGCTTATATATGTAATTGGGAATTACTTATCAAAAAATATATATATGTAATTGGGAATTCTTTGATGCTGTGTAGTGGTTCCTGTGTTTTCCTCTTCTTCTACTTAGAAGATCTTGGTGATCAGAGATTTTTTACTGCTATTCCAGAGATGTTGCCATGGAGGGTTGTTTTGAGGTTCTGCACTACATGGGTTGGAGGTTACAGGACTTGAGGAGTATCTTCTGATTAGGTTTGGTGTCTCTGTTCTGTGAGCTTCAGCTGGTTTGTTAGATGCGTTTATGCTGTGTTTTTTTATTCTGTTTGGTGAGTTCTTAGCACTCACCTTTCTCTTTTGTATCATATTGTAGTGTTGTATTTTAATAAAATTAACCATTTCAGGAAAATAAAAAAATAAAAAAACCTATTGACTTAACATTTCCAATGCTTAGATTGAACAAACACCTTGTTAGCCAAGCTTGAAATAATAAGTTTAAAAAGCTATACCAAAAACATTATATAATGAAATCAAATTAAATTAAATTAAAACGCACAAAAATCCAAACAAGAATGAATGAAATATAACATTAAAAAAAAAAACCAAAACAGGCTAAAGAGCTTTGTAATCTAGTTATAAGTTTCGTAATGATAAAGTTTGTCAACAAAGCAAGTGAAGGTGTCCAGGCACTAAAGAATAGTTAACTAAAACCAATGCCGGATATTTTGTACATGCAGTCGTGCACATATGCATTAGCAACAACAAAATGTTGCACCTAATCTGCACATCCAAACACTGACATTCTATATGCTATACACTTGAAAAGTAATACATGACATGATTAGTCATCATGAATTTCTAATTAAATCTTTCAGTAATCATTTATGCTTTAAAAAAGTTGAACTGCCTCTCAAAAGGGTGTAAATTAGAGAAGAAGTCAATAACTTTTCATTGGGGGGCCAATGTATATGTATCATGCATTCAGGAAGAAAAAAATGTGTATGTATCATGTTTAGGAAGTATTAGGGACACAATGACTAGTCGAATATAATAGCTTATGTGTCATTCTCACTTGCAAACTTTTTTTTTTTGTTTTTGGGTAAGTCAATATTTATTCAAAAAAGAAGAAACAATGCAGGCTACCAAACAGCGGCCCAAAAGAAGCAACAAGAAAGAAGGCCCAAACAAAGCCTGAAGGCAGCAACAAACTCCACAAAAGGAGGAGGAACTACAAGAAAAAACACACAGAAAGCACAACACAGAGCATATGACTCCTTACCAATTGTAGCAACATTCTTAATTAAAAACAAGTGAAATTGAATTTCAGTCTAATAGAGAACTAGCCATGTTATTTAAATTTCATCATTAACAAAATCTAGAAAAAAAAAAAAAAACAGCAGTACGTTTAAGCCATTTTAACTAGTCCTTATAATTCATTCACAAAACCTTGTTAATACCCTCTGCATGCCCCCAACTCATTCCTACGCAACCCCACACCCAAACAAGAAAAGGGGAAAAAAAAAAAAAACTCATTTTTCTCACCCCTAACCAACATTGCAAAAAATAAAATAAATAAATAATTCATTAAAATAAATTTAAGTCATATATGCTAGCTGCCATTTTTTTTACTTGTACACAATCATTGGCAAGCACAATGTTAACCGAGATCTAGTAAGTTCCGAAAAAAAAAAAAAAAAAATTAAGGCTGAAAGATATATATATATATATATATATATATATATATATATATATATATATAAAGGGAATCAGTGCACGAGGCCCTGCCATTACAAAAAGATTTATATATATTTCCCATAATTTTCAAGTGCAAATTAGTAATGAAGTGTATGAAAAAGTAAAAATCCGTGCACGAGACTCCCGCCATTATAAAAAGATTGATATATATTTCTCATAATTTTCCAGCAAATTAGTAATGAAGTAGATGAATAAGTGAGAGTTATTATCATTAAAAGCTATAAATATATTGAACCGTTAAAGTGAATGTAAATTGCAAACAAGCAGATCCTCACCTTGAACTCATGTTCAGCACGACCACATTATCTCCAACAATGGCTTCCTTAAGTGAAACGAAACTGGGAACATAAGCAATTGCTTTAAATTTTGATTCAGAACCACGAATCTTAAGATATTTAAATTTTGGTATTTAAGGGTCATAACAAATCAGAGCACATGTATCATAATGAAACAGCAATACTTCCCCATTTTTCAAGTAATTTATTGGCTGATATAAACCATAAGGCCAACTCTGATCAGGTTGATTACGAATAGAAAACATCTTTGTCCAAGATTTCCCAACACCATATTTCTTCATAACCCATATATAAATGGGATCATAATTGGCATCACATATGCATAGACAACCATCTAGCACTCCCATGGACACATTATGCACCACACCCAAATCAACGATGTAGTTTGCATAACATTTTTGATATTGACGAGGCGAAGAAAATAATTTAAACTGCTCCTTGTCAAAGCTAAAACAAACTATATTAAGCGTACGGCTATGTCCCCGAAATTCTTGATAGAGCAACCAATGGACACATCCCTCCAGATAAGTGGGAAACGTTAGGTTACAATATAAAAAGGGAGCATCACCAATGCTTTTCCATGATCCTTCGCCGAGTGTGCATATCTCAATCCCGGAACTATAATTTATCCACCCCGTTTCGGGTGTGCAACAGCTCATGCGCGCGCCACCCCTAGCCCGAGCAGCAAACTGCCGTTCAAACATTCTAATCACCTTGTATTGATTAGTTCTCGGACTGAAGCCAAACCCACAATCAACAAAATATTGGGTTTTCTTGGAAGGCCTTCCTTTACCCACAGGAAGGTTTATATACTCACCCGTGATCGGATTACACACAACAACAGGTTCATTACTGGTTGGTTCAGACAACCAGAGGAAACCATTGCACGAATTCACAATTTTGAAATTTCGATCCTTGGGTGTGACTCTGATGTCGCTTTTCCTTTTAACCCCATTTGGGTAACGACCCATGTGTGCAAGCTTTATATGAGGGTCGCATCGGAAACCGCGATCGCCGTCGCAGATGCAGTATCCAAGATCGAAATTGTGGCATTCTTGAGGCTCAACCAAATGAAGTGTTGTTGAATCCGAGGTCTGAAGCAGAGCGCAGGGCTCTGCCTTCGCAGAGAGCAGCTTGGCGAATTGGGGATCAGAGATTACAGTGCGCCAAGATTTGCAAAGGCATTTGCAAATTAGAATACTCTTTACAGGGAGCTTCAGTAGAATATCGTCGATGATGGGTCTCGGAAGATAATTGCCTTCCTGGGTTGAATTTCTTTTTCCTTTTCATGGCTGCTGTTATATGATGAATCTGTGAAATAGATTTGGAGGTCAGTGACAGATAATATAAAACCCTAGCCCCGATGAAAGAATTATCTCAAAGACAAACAAAACCCTGGTTATCAATAAAGAGAGAGAGTTACCGCTTAAATAGGGCAGTATATATTGGCATATAATAAAATTACAAAAGAACCCTGCACTGCTTAATATTTTGTTCTTATATTATTTTAGTATCATAAATTGTCGCTGTCCCTTTCTGTCTTTTACCTCTCGGACTCTTCGAATTCTAATTTGTTTACAATTTTCTCATATGGTCCCTCGAATTAAAATTAAAAAACAAAAAAATACCAGAATTTTTATACAAGAGATCTATAGAAATTTTTCATTCATAATTTTTCTTACCTATACCATGTAGGATTGTAGACAGAAACGGAGGGAGCTAAAGTCCAGGTGCAAAATATAAAAAGTGCCCCCATTCAATTTTCTCTTTTCTTTATAATATTCTATATATGTTTTTTTTTCCTCTTAAATAAGTTTCCTTAATCTTTATATTCTATATTTATAATTAATTTAATCCTAAAAATATAACTCTCTCTCTCTCTCTATATATATATATAGATATATACTCATAAACATTAAGTTATATGTATAGACATTATACTATGTATATGTTAAGGTACACAATATTACAAAATGTGCCCCCTGAACAAATTTTTTGGCTCCTTGATTATAGGTTGTGATAACTAAAATTATTCGCAAAAAGATATTATTGTTGTTATTGACATTTTTGTCATTTTGTTATTATATAATTTAAAAAAAAAAAAAAAAAAAAAAAAAATCATGCAGACCATGTGATAAAGTAATGTTTACGACGTGATGACATATTTACGAAATATGACTCCTACTTTTGTTGTTGATATCATGACATATTCAATGGTATGCAAGTGTCAAGTAAGTATTTGAGACATCCCTTAGAAGAGTTCGTAATATCAAAAATAATTGTTACAAAAATTATTAGGATTTGACAAATAGGTTGGAGATGTTCTTAAGTTGTCTTTTAAAGTGTAAAATAGGATTAGGTTGTAATATTCCCTTCTTTTTTTATCCTATCTCTCACTGTTTCAGAAATCTTACTCCCTGTTTTCACCTTTCTTTGAATTCCATTCATTGACTATTTATCTCATATTATCTCGGATTAAAATTATCAACAAAGCCAAATTTTTCTCCCTCTTGTTCTCTCTCGAATTAAAAGTTAACAACCAAGTTTAATATTTTCACTTTAACATTTTAGCATTCATCCATTGTCATGATATTAACAACAAAAGCATTATAATCCTTACATATTGTTGGTGGGACACAAATAAAAAATAAAAAATAAAACCAACAAAAAAAAAAACAAAAATGAGAAAAGAATAATAAAGTTTCCTCAGCTTAGATAAGGAGTCAGATGTATAATTCCTTTAATTTTTTTACTATTATAATCCATTTCAAAGTATAATCTTTATGATTCGCATGAACGGAGAAACTAGACTATATATAGTTTTAGGAATTCTATTTAAGACAAAGTAGATTCTAATATAATATGGTTTGAGTACGTAGACATTACATTTTTTACTATTCATCAGCATTTTGCAAGAATATTTGCTTTAGACATTGTGAGGCTATAAATGTGTCTGGTAAGCTTGCTAAATAGATTTGTTGCCTCTTTCTCTTCTAAAATGCAAATATCGTGATTTTGTGACTAAATAATATCATATTTGCATGAAAATGAACATTGTGACAGTGGTGTGATTTCCATTGTTTTGCACGAGTAGTGTTGATTATAAGAATGTCTCTTTTAAAATGCAAATATCGTGATTTTGTTGTAAATTATAATTAATTCGTGTTAAACCATTCATCACAAATAAATACGAACCACACAATTTTAGAACTTCATTATTTTCACATATCTATAATGCATAAATAAATATAGTTAATTATAAATACATCGATCTGTGATTGCAAATATCGTAGCGATCAAGTCCAATGTCGAGATCCTTTCTGCGGAACGAACAACGTGTTAAATTGCAATAGTCAAAACGTGGAAACCGATTTCTCTATCTTAACCTTTTGTACACATAAAACTTTGACGTGTTGTATCATTAATTGTACATAATTGATGGAGTATATGTACTTTTATAAAGGCAGAGAGATGACCAGTTTTCCTTTTAGTAACATAATTATACTTTTCATCAAAGTAAGAATTAAGAAAGGAAAACACTTCTCCAATAAGTAATTATCAAAAAGGTAATTTATAAGTTGACTAAATAATATAATATTAATCTGATATCTATTTTATTTAACCACCAAAAAATATGTCACATGTCCAAATCATGATGTGGGCCATAATTAAATAAATAATCTTACATTCTCCCACTTAGCACATATGATAATTTCTGTAGTGGTTTAGTAAAATAGTCATTAGTGTACACTATAAATCAAATTGACTCATTAAGTTGGTCATTATAAATACCATGATAAATAAACTACTAATGCGAGTCATAGCGGTTATATGTCCTTAAATGACACAATCCCTTCCATGTACCACAACACTAGTAACATATTCAACAGTTTATAAATGACAAATATCAATAATGATCTAATAATAATGTCTTTTCCAAGACTATTCCTATTACCATTTATTAAAGTAATACGTACATGTATATTAATTAATAGAAAATATCATAAACACGTTTAATCAACGCAAAATGTCAAATATATATAGGCATTGTTAAGTAATCTACAATTAAAAAATAATCATCATTGACTACATTCAAGACCCATTCTTTTAACATGTTCTATAAATGTCTTGGGTGGTAGTCCATTCGTTAATGGATTGCAATCATAAGTTGTGTGCTTATATATTCAATAGACATTCGTTGTTTCTATACATCTTCTTTAACATAATTCCATAAGAGTACGATTACGCCTTACAACTACACGCTTCTGCTGTGGCATGTATAACAAAGTGAATTAAGCACAAATGCCATATAATTCAAGGAGTTTAGCAAACGGTTAGAGTATTAACCCGTTTCATCATACTTTCAATAATATTCACCACCTCTATATGACCTTATGATTTTCACTTTTTCTATCTAGTTATTTTTCAACCTCATTTATGTATATTTCAAGAGTACCCTTGAGGTTTTTCATGCAACAAATAGATATATCCATAATGTGAAAATTAACTATAAAGGCAATAAAATATTTTTCTCCACCAAAAGATGGAACATCAGAAGGTCTACAAATGTCTTTATGAATAATTTCAAAAAACCATATACTTATTATGGCTCATTTCTTTGTGCGTTTGGTTTGTTTACCCTTAATACAATCTACACACACACCAAAATCAATAAAGTTTAGATTCAGAAGAATCACATCCTCTACTAATTTTTTTAATCTTTCACTAGATATTGACCTAGTCTTTTATGCCACAAGGACGATAAATTTTCTATTAATTAAGTTACGCTTAATTCTAACATTATGATGCAAGATCAAAAGGTCTTTAATAAATAAGCTATCAAGTTTGAATTTACAGAAATTATCAACAATAATACCATAACTCACAAATTAAAATTTCTTAAATAAACATCATTATCAAATTTAAATGAAAAATCATTAACATAAAGTCTTGAAATAAAATCAAATTATGGGAAATTGAATAAATATAAAAAGTTTAAAGTAATTTAAATAAAATCCATTATCTAACATTAAACATAATGTTACAATGGTTTCAACAAAACTTTTTCTCAATTATCATAAATAAGAAATTCTTATTTAAATTTGTGATTTAGGCCATAAGAAATTATTCCATCTATTACAAACATAAACATTAGTACTTAATGTAACGACCCAAATCCTCATGGATCCAGATCATTAAACGGGTCTTAACCCGACCCAAAAACATCCAATAGCAACACGGTCATTTCACATTAAATTTAAATGTCGAGGTCCAAAAAGGGCAAGATGGTAAATTACCATAATTCCATAAATTGGGACTCAAGGGTATAACAGTCATTTACTTGTATCACGTAACTATTAAAATAAGGTTGAGGGCAATATAGTCCTTTTGGTAGTTAAAATGTAATTATGGCATTTTAATGGGTTATAAAATAATTACGTGAAACCTCACTTGGGTGCGAAAGTGCAATTTGGGAAACTAAACACATATTACATAAGTAACATAAACCGGTCGATGTATATGCATCATACGTTGACTGGTTTGGGACATGAACAGTGGAAATGCCCACTGTCATGATACCGGTCGACGTATGGGAAGCCATACGTTGACTGGTTTGGAAGGTGAGTTACAATGGATACCGGTCGACGTATGGGAAAGCATACGTCGAATGGTTTGGGACATGATACCGGTCGACGTATAGGATGCCAAACGTCGACTGGTTTGGGACGTGAACTACTCAAACACAAGATACCTGTCGACCGGTTCTGGGAAATCTTCACTTCCACTTCCCACTGTCCTGTGTAACCCACGTACATCAACAATTGATAATTCAAAGACCCACGCCACTACACGTACTTGTAATTTTTTTTAATACATTTCAACAATAATTTCAAGTACAACCACCACGTTATTAACGTAATTTACCACACGTCATTAAAATACACTAGGGGATTTAGTGTAATTAAAAGTTAATTACATTTTAACATCAAATAAAAATACCACAACCATCAACAACATGAATCACCACATGTTACTTAAATACACAAAAGGCTTATGATTGAATAAAACTTAATTACATTATCCAATGGCCATAATTGCAAACTTATTTACATTCTCAAAAAAAAAAACTATGATTATACATGAAATGGCCAAATACTAAATAGCAAAAATCATCTCCTAACAACTTTCAATTTTGAGGTGGATTGGCATCCGCCGGTTCTTTTCCAAGACCTGAAAAAAAAGATATATATAGTAGGGTGAGCTATATGCTCAGTAGGTGACA